ATGCAATTCAAGCATGGAGTGCAATTGTTTTTATGTTTTTCTCAAAAACATAATATCATTTTTTTCGCACAATGTTTACATTTCTTTTTAATCATAATTTTATTATTTTAGTAGGTTTGTGTTGATAAATATCTCAGTAGAACTATGATAACTTAAAAATTAAAAACCTAAAAACAAATTGCATTTTTGCAATAATGATTCAATTAATGTATTTAACTAATTTTAAAATTCCTCAATAGTTCAAAGTTCATGTTATAGTTCTACTGTATATAGCAGGTATTTAAATGTATACTAAAATGATTTTTGATGATTTACAGCTATTCGTTCTGGTGATTATTATATGTTTGATGAATTTGATGATGAATTAGATTCAATTGTGGAAAAAGATAATGAATTAAGTGATGACTCACTTGAAGATTCAGACAAGACTGACACTGACCAATTTGTGTATAAAGTAAATAAAATATTAATTATTTTGTATTAAATACTTYATATTCAGTTTTTAATTATTATTATTATTTTAGAAAAAAAAAGAAATGGATAAATCAGTTGTTGGTGAAACGAGTAAACTAGCCATGTAATAATAATTAAATATAAATATTTTATCTATTATATTATGTACTATTAATTATTATGATAAATATTTAGTTGAGCTTTCTAAAGTTATAWACTATTTTTTTTAGGCTTTGAGTAAAATTGCATATTTATTCACCATTATTTAATTTCAACTTATCAATATTAAAACAACATTTTTTGGTCTATCTATGTATATTGTAAAATATGAATAACTACCAAATATTATATAACATCATGTATCAACATTCAATTGTTTTGGTAAAAYTTTTCAAAAACAACACCTGATACACTAYTTTTATTCAATTTAAATGAATAATTTCATATTTTATAATTCTTATCATAGATAGATAGGCCATTTTTGTATTGGTTAGATATAAAATCTTACTAAAATATTTTTGTTTTAATATTATTATTATTATTATTTTTTTTTTTGTTATAGGGGTGATGTCAAGAATTTGAGAGAAGGTATATTATTTTATTTTAATTAAATTAATGTAAATATTTAAGTATACATATTGTTTATCAAAAAAATKTAGATGCCCAAGATGGAGATAAGTTAAAATCATTCAGTAAGAAAATTAAGGAAAATATTTATTTGTTCATGGCTTTTGTCAACAGTTCAACTAAAACATTGACTAGGAAATTAAATAAAATTTCTCGWGACTATAGATATGTTATCAGAACACTAGCAGTTGAAAAGAAAACATTAAAAGTATTTAATTATTACATTTTACATAATTTATTTTTTAATATATCATTTATATTTCAGCAAAATCGAGGTTTTGGAATTGGTCTAAGAACAGGCTCATCAATGATTTGGCAGCCTATGCCATTTGTTGGTAAAAGTGTTACATTAAGGTGAGTCTGTAGTC